CTGCTCGTTGGAGAGATGCCGGAAGATCGGAATGCGGTGCGCGAGGAGCATATCCTCCGCCAGCTCCGCGGTGTCGTCCAGGCTGTCGACGGGCGACACGCCGAGCTCAGAAAGCGCCGCTACGAGGCTGCCCTTGGAGAGGGTCGCGGCCTTGCACCCGGACGAGCCAGCGCGCAAAACCCCTCGTGGCCCAACGCGGCGCTCCTCAGGAAGGGCGACACAGGCAGGCATAGGGGAGAGACGAAACAGGTAAGGAGAGACAGGCAGGCATAGGGGACAGGCACGGACACACAAAACAACAGCAATCAAAACATGCACATGCGTTGAAATTTGCATATGCGTTTGTATACGCGGGAATACGCGAATCTATACATATATATATACATATATATATATATACATATATATATATGTATATGCATGGGTATCGTGTGTATGTGTGGGTAAGTATACATATACATACACATAAATACATATAAAAGGCGCGTATTACCATATGTGTATACATGTGTGTGTGTGAACACACACATGGCATGTGCATGTTCTGGTGCATATGATGGCACATTGGCAAATACGTTTCCAACTGCAGGTACACATGTATATCCACCTGCACAGGTATTCGCATACACACGTCCATATATATATATATATATATATATATATATATATATACACGCACTGATACTTACACATACACATGCGTTTAATTATACAAGCACATACACATCGATCTGTACACATATATGTATACAGATACGTATATATGTATGTGTAGGCATGAACATATATATATATATACATACATACAGCCATACAAACAAATATACATACATATATACATACATACATACAGACAGACAGACCGACATATATGTATATATACATGTATACATATATACATATGTGCGTGTGTGTGCTCGCACGGATCCGCCCGAGCGCCGCGAGCGGTTCTACTGCGGAGGCCGCGGCCGGCGCGCGCAGAAGTGGCCCGATCTGGGCTGGCCCCCCAAGCGCGCGCGGGCCGAGCGGCGCCGCCCAGGTGAAGATGATCACCTGGGTGCCGAGGATCGGCGCTGGCAGCTGCTAGCCTCGGGAAAGCGGGAGGAGCAAGGGTTGGGGGTCGAAAGGCCACAAGAACTAGACAGCGCCAGGTGAGAAGAGAGAATAGAGAGCACTCCCCCGCCCCAGCGCCAGCGAGCGATTCTAGTTCGCAGGCCGCGGCCGGCACGCGCAGAGGGGCCCGATGCGGGTAGGCCCCCCGAGCACGCGCGGGCCGAGCGGCGCCGCCCAAGGGAGGATGGTCACCGAGGTGCCGAGAAGCGGCTCCAGTAGCCACACCCAGGCTCAACGCCCTTGCACAGTAACAAGGCTTCGGCGGGCGGCCGCAGTTTGAATGTACCACGCAGCAGGGCCAAGTCCTGAGAAAAAAGCGGCATGGCGGTCTGTAGACGTGGCATAGAACGCCACGCGCGTACGAGCCAGGGCAGGGAGGGCGGAAAGGACTGCCGAGGCGGCGGCGGCCTGAGGATAGCGCTCGGCGCTTGAGGCCTGGCGCCACCGCCCACGCCAGAAGTCGCGCGGCACGTCTTCAGTGGCCATATAAAAATCAGTCGCCCCAGAAGCCCGCAAGCAGGCTAGCGCAAGGCTCAGCCCTGAGGCAGCTTTGGAAAGCGAGGCGCCCAGAGCCAAAAAGTATCCCCGCGAAAGACCCAACCATGCGCAGTTGTGAGTACCGCGTTGTGTGTACCGCTTTCGGTATAGCTCCCTATGGGGACACGACCGCGTGAGGGGTGCGCCAAAATGGGGCGGCGCCGCCATGCGGACCCTGCCACTGGGGCCCTCGGTGGAGCTCCCTATGGGGCCACGAACCGTGCGAGGGGTGCGCCAAAATGAGGCGGCGCCGCCATGTGGACCCTGCCACTAGGGCCTTCGGTGGACGCCCTATGGGAACACGAACCGTGCGAGGGGTGCGCCACAATGGAGCGACGCTGCCATGTGGACCCTGCCACTGGGGCCTTCGGTGGAGCTCCCTATGGGAACACGAACCGCGTGAGGGGTGCGCCAAAATGGGGCGGCACCGCCATGCGGACCCTGCCAGTGAGGCCTTCGGTGGAATTCCCTATGGGGTCACGAACCGTGTGAGGGGTGCGCCAAAATGAGGCGGCGGCGCCATGTGGACCCTGCCACTAAGGCCTTCGGTGGAGCTCCCTATGGGGCCACGAACCGTGTGAGGGGTGCGCCAGAATGGATGCGGCGCCGCCATGTGGACCCTGCCACTGGGGCCTTCGGCGGCACGAACCGTGTGAGGGGTGCATCAAAATGGGGCGGCGCCGCCATGTGGACCCTGCCACTGGGGTCCTCGGTGGAGCTCCCTATGGGACCACGAACCGTATGAGGGGTGCGCCAAACGGGGCGGCGCCGCCATGTGGACCCTGCCACTGGGGCCACGAACCGTGCGAGGGGTGCGCCAGAATGCTTGCGGCGCCGCCATGTGGACCCTGCCACTGGGGCCTTCGGAGGAGCGCCCGACAGGGCCACGAACCGTGTGAGGGGTGTGCCAAAACGGGTGGCGGTCCCTGCTGGAGGAGGGGGAGGAAGGAGGCGGGAGGAACGCGGGGCGCCGTCTCTTCAAAACGAAGACCCAACACCACAGGATGGTGGGAGGAGGAGGAGGAGGAGGAGGAGGAGGAGGAGGAGGAGGAGGAGGAGGAGAAGGAGGAGGAGGAGGAGGAGAAGGAGGAGGAGGCGGAGGAGGAGGAGGAGAGGAGGAGGAGGAGGAGGCGCGGGGCGCTGTCTCTTCAAAACGAGGACCCGACACCACAGGACGCTTGGGAACCAATGCTTTTACGGAAGCCGCTCTGCCCGAAGGGCGTGGGGGGATGGGCAGGGCCAAACTGCTGAACCGCCAATTCTAGTATCCTCACACCAGGGCACGCGTCGCCCGTTTGAGCTCACGGCGGCAGGCCTGGCGGGCGCGGCGGGGGCAGAGCAGGCCGGAGGAGCACTCTGCCTTGTCGGGCCCCTCCCGCGCAAACCAGCGGGGCCGCGACGCGAACAGGGTCCGGTCCACAAGCCAGCGGGCGACCGCGAGAGACTCGCCAAACACCTCCAGACGCCATCCCCGCGCCTCGGCCGCGCCCTCCGGCAGCGCCGGCTCGATATAGATTTAAAGAGAGCCGCGGGCGGACCGTGAGGCGCGCGGGCGGCAGGAGCCTTGGCCTCGCCCGCCGGTGGCGGAGACACCGGGGGCGAGGGTGGCTCCAAGCTCGCGGCGGGGCGGCGCTTGGGCTGCGGCCGCAGGCGAAGGGCGCGAGCCTACGCCCAGAGGTGGCGTCGCTCGGCGCACCCCTGACTCGGGCACCGCGCCCGCCAGGGGTCGCGCCCTCCACCCCGCCGGCGGCGCCACCATCCCCCTTACGAAGCCGCAGCGCCCTCGCTGCAAAAGGGCCGCCTGCCGGCGTGGGCGACGCGGCCCTCGAGGCGGGAAGCGGAACGGCGTCGGGGGGCACCCGCTCGGAGTGCGGGGGCCCTGGAGCGAGAGCGCCCCCTGGGCGCAGCGGGGGAAGCGGGAGACGCCCCGGCCTCCACTCCCTCTGGGCAACGGCGGCCCGCGGCGGGGGCGAGGGGACCCCTCGCGCCAGGGGCCCTGGCGAAGACCGTTTCGGAATCAGAAGTTCGCACGAAGCTGGGCCGAACTAAATACCGTGTGTCCGATCCCTATCCCCAACGGCGTGGCTTGGGCCCCACTGGCCGATTCACCCCCCTAGATGGGGATATTGGCCGTTCCGTTCGAGCTTCGAGGGGTGTATGCCAAACTGGGGGGGTAATTTGGTGGGGGTCTCGAAAGGGATGGGATGGGGATGGGGGTCGGATCAACGATACTGACTGACCCCCGCGCGGTTCGACCCGCGGCCCCTGGCGTCTGCGCGACCCCGCGCCCCACCAGCAGTTGCGCGGTGCGCTCCGCTTGGAGGCGGCGCCGAACTGCTGCCGGCAAGGTCGCGGGCACACGGTCGGCGGCCTGGAGGGCCCCGGGGGCCGCGGCGGGGGCGGATCTCTTGCGGGGGGGGCAAATCCGTGGGGGCGGCGCGTGTTTAAAAAATGGTTCCCCTGCTCGCGGGGTGGTGCCCGCCAGATTGAAAATCAACGGGGCGGCGCCGGTGATTAGCGCCGACGCCCGGCCGCCAACGAGGGGCAAGGGGGTGGTGTTTGGAGGCAAGGGCCCCATTTTCTGTCGAACCGACGCGGGCCTGCGGGCAAGGCAGGCTGGACGAAAGCTGGGCGCAGCAAAGGGCGGATTTGCCAAGCAGCTCACGTCGCCAGTTTTCCAAGCGCCTCCTGGCGCCGAAAGCGGCCATGCGTCGAGGATTGGCCGTTCGGCGGGGCGACCGAAACCAGCTGCGCGCAGCAGGCTTTGCAACCCCCCCTTTCCTTCCCCAGCTTTTCGTCCGACCCGAGCAAGGCGGGTAGTCCTCTTCCCCCCTGTGTCGCCGTCGTCGCCGCCGTCCCCCGCCCTGCCTGCGCTCGTTTCAAGCGGCCGCTCTCTTCGTCGTCGACGACGACGACGACGACGACGACGACGACGACGACGACGACGACGGGACGAGGACGAGGACGACGGACGGCGGACGGCTGACGGCGACTGCGGCGACGACGACGACGCACTGCTGCGGATGCCCTAGGCGGGGGGGCTGCGCAGGCCCGCTGTAGTCGACGACGACGACGACGACGACGACGCAGACGAAGACGAAGACCAAGACGACGATGACAGCAAGGACGACGAAGAAGAAGAAGAAGAAGAAGAAGAAGGCGACGACGACGACGACGACGCCCGAGAGGAGGAACGAAAATTTGCATCGGATGCGCGCGACCCTTATAGCAACTTCTACACGAAGGGCAATCGTTTTGAGGCTGTCATGCAGGGGTACGCGATCCCCTCCGCGGCGCCAGCGACGACCCCCTGGCGCGCGTGATCCAAAAAGGTTTCGCGCCCCGCGGGGTCTGTTCATCAGCCCCGCGGGAGGGGGGGGGGCTGGCCTTTTCGTGAATCACAGGCTGACATTACCTCGGCCTGCCGCCACAGGAGCGCCCCGGCGTGGCGCGAGGGCGCAGGGCCACCTCGGGGGGCCCACCGCAGGCCCCGCGCAGGGGCTGCGGGCTCTCCTCGGGGCCCGGCGGCGCCTGCGGGCCCGGCGGCCCCCCGC